AGTTGGATGTGTCTAAGAAAAGGATTGTATCGGAATTGGACTTAAAATACTTTCTAGATGTAGTATTTTAGCTATTACATGTTGGTGTGGAGATGACTTGTACTATACAAGTACGCTAGATAACTCGAAAAACATTAAAAATTTGTACAAAATAATATCTGAACTCTGAATTAAATTATTGAAACTTTTTCACAAAATTAGTTTCAATATAATGGGAATGAACTAAAATGGGGAATAGAGTTGAGCTTACAAAGCTCAATGGAAGGGGGAAAATAGTGCAATAGACAGCTAGTATTGGTGGTTGAACATTAACCATGAAGTGAATGTGTTGTTAGACCCACGCGAGAAGCATTTTCCCTTGTGTATGAAGTATATAGTCATCCAACGCGCATTAGAATTAAGTATTGCGGGGAAGTCATATGTGAGAGCTAATATATGGGCGGGCAGAAGGGTTGTGCGCCTATCGCTTTAGTGAATCTGGATCGTTTAGAGGATTTGTTCCTCCATTATTACACTCAGGTGGCACGAGGTATCATTTAATATGTCTCATTGGTGTACAAAAACTTGTGGTGGGCCTATGTGACGTAATTTTTATGCTCGTTATAGCATCATCTTAGTGCATCTCCAACAAATTGGTTGAACCATTGTTGTACTACCCACTTAACATTATTGTTCTTACTCATCTAATTAGGGATGGCAATGGGTCGGATCGGGAGCGGATAGTGCATGTCATCATATTAAAATTGATCTTATGTACGTCTTTGTAACAACTTAGACAATAAAGGACCTAGCTAGCGGCTAGCTTGCTAGCATGGAATTGATCAAACAATGAAAGTAATAACACTGAAACCACCGCATCATTGTTGATAGTTTAAAGTGCATGTGCGAATAATCTTTGATCATGATAATTAAAGCTCTAGTGAATTACGTTAGGTTTCAAATGCAACATTCGAATTACAAGGGCAGGTAAGGTAAGGTAAGGTCCATGTCTGCATGTTCCATTTATCACCTACCACCTCCTTCTATGCTAATTGCTAGGGCATATGTTACAATGAGAACAAAGAAAGTTAATAGACGAATTAGCTTTTTCCCCATTACTTAGCATGTTAAATTAATTATGATTTGTGTTATATTGTTATTTTAGTTTTGAGCTCGATCGGTTGGTTGGAAGATGAATTCTTTTTCATGTTAAGATAATATTATTTATAGTACCCAACGATAATGTTTTTGACACACATGAGATTGTTGTGTACGATGGTGATATAAAATTAAATGATATTAGTATAATTTTTTTAATTTTGTAGAATAATAACGTATCAAATGTGTTATGGGATTGGGGGTACAGAACTGAATAATAATGGTATAGTTTAGTAGCATTGTCAAATAAATGCTGCAATATTTCCACACTTAGGTAAATAGAATCTGTCCAATTGAATGCAACTTTATTACCTAGAATTTCTTGTGATGAAAATGCCCCCAATGTATTCTTAGGTCATTTTTATTGTTAAGCCTCATTTTTGTTTGGTTGCTTTTAGACTTTCATTTCAATTCGAGATTCTCAATTACCTAATTGTTTGGTGGCACTTCAGCAGCATCCATCCCAGTCCAACAAATCAGATGTACTTAGTTTCAAGAATTGAGAAATAAAATAAACTTAAATCTCGTAGGAAAAGTTCAATGGACAAGAAATGGTCTTTGGGGTTGTCATTTTCGAACTAAACTCCAGTGATAAACTAGGGCAAGTTTGGCCTTTCCTTCGAAATAGCTCTTTGTCTCTTCTCAAGGGCTCTACGTCTTGCTCGATAAGGGCAATATCCTTATACTCATTTAGTCTCCTTGTTTTGTGCGATCCTATTTAATTAGTGAAAGTCATTAATTATTATCTGTGCTACGAATTGAAGAGACATAAACAAAAGAATACAACAACAACAACCTATTTACCCATCAATTTTGAATACATACATTTGATCTCTATATGCTTAACTTGTGTATCTGGAGTGTACTGAGATAGAGAGGCAAAGTGACATGTATTTTGACATGTACTAGATATATCTTTTGTCACATTTGTGCCATTAATTAAGTACCCAAGTTGAGTTCTAGGAATCTTACTATCTCCCACTCTTGATGGGGCACAATGTAATGTAGTTGTGTGTTATATGTTGTTGGAGTACATAGGTAAATTTCATGTGTACATGTGTCGAATTTTTAGCAATGCAAGGGAAGATAAATTACACATATACAAAGCATTATATCATTTGGCTTAGCTAGCTTTCTTAGTTCAATGCTAACTTTTGTTAAAGACAAACATATAAAATGGTCATTTTCATGAATTTCACGTGCTTTGTTTTATAATATGCAAAACGTTCGAAGAATGATAGGGTAAAGGTAAATAAACTTTGTAGTATATTAGCATTCGGGTTCTTGTCAAAGTCTCTTCATTGGAAGAGTTACTTTGTGTTTGGAATGTCCAAAATTACGTTTGATCATCTCCTTAATGAAAAATCAATCTAACCTTAGGTTGTTTGGGTGCAGGTCAATGCAGCGGTGTATAGATACGATGTGTAGGGCGATTAAGGAAAAGAGGAGACATGGTATAGACATGTAGTACTGCTAGGAATAAGAATAAGACAGTAAGGCATTCGATTTTACCAACACATTTTTTATTGAGTTTCGGAATGATAAAAATTAAGACCGTTTAAAATAACATATTTTTGAAATAATTATTGGAGTAATTGAAAATAATTGAAATGTAACATATTTTGGAAGTACACACATCTATTTTTTCTATTCTAAAACAATTATTGGAGAAATCTTGTAGGGTACTTTGTGGAAGGGTGAATTCAAATAATGAAACTTCTTTCAGGTGAATTCAACATAATACCTTAATCATTGAACTACAACAATATTCCTGGTGTTTGTCTAGTGTATATACATTAAGCCATGTAAATTGTAATTAACGTTGGTACCAATTGTGAAACACATTCGATAGGATTTCTGTCCATTGTCTTGAATTTCCTCTTCATGAAACTTGTAAGGACTGTATTGTCCGTAGACCTTTTTTTTTTATCGTCCTATATCTTATCATTATCACTATTGTCATCATGATATTCGTTCCTCATTTTGGTTAATAATTACAATGAAATCAAGCACAGTTGTTAAGTGCTTTCACCTGTTAGGTGCCTGATCAACAACAAGATAAAAAGAGATATTGGGGAAGTTGAATCAATAACAATGTTGGCCAAAAACCTCACCCTTAGTCAACGGGGGAGTCAAAGCCCTAGCATCACCAAATCAAGTAAATTTTTTTTTTCCTTTCCCCCACACATTAAAAAAATTTCACCCTCTCCCCACCACTTCCTTTATTAATTCAAGTGGGCCAGAAAGAAAATATATATGATAGATATTAGATAGGGAGTGATATTTTGCCAAAAAGATTGGGACCCATGATTACCAATTGATTTCCAACACGTGTCTCATCATACAAAGTGGTTAAAAAAAAAATTCTACAACCAAACTATACACACCAGTGATGATAAGGGTCTGACGTTAGTAACCTAACCACCCTAATGATGCCCTGAAAAAAGTAACCAATTAGACTGAAAGCCAAATTATTGTGTCGTTTCCCTTTTCTGTTGGGAGAAACAGCAGAATGGTTTTGGGTCATTAATCAAAACCCTACAGAGAAGGTAAGAAGCCCCGTAGTTTTTTAGGATTAAAAGAACAGCTTTCAGTTACCTGCTGGTTATTTTCAACATTCACTACTTGAGAAGGAATTACTTACTGGTGTTTGATCACTGTGGTGGTTGTAAATTGTAATGCTCGGATTTTTTCCTCAGGTATTCAAAGTGGGAAACAATAAGATACGAGTATATATGATCTTCGCAGGTCAAATCATAAAACAAGATACAAGTAAGACACGTTGGTAGACCAAGATGCAATCCATCGATAAAAATGACTTGTTTTGCTACGACATGGACAACCATATTATACTCACGTGGTGCGAAATAAGAGGGTTTGGTTTAGCCACTCATTTAATTTTTATATTAACTCGGACATAATTACGCCCTGTGAAAAGATACTTGGCACAAATAAAGTGCATGTTAAGATATATGGAGGAGAGTGGATGTTTTTGAAGACGTGCGTGACTTCCTTATCGTCGACAAAAAATGCCTCACAAAGTTGTGTTTAGATGATATTAAAATTTGAATCAAATTGTATAACGAACCCAATGCCCATGGCCCATGGCCCATGAGTGGCTCACTGTCTAAGGACCAAAATCCGAATTTACATATTTGGACGGGCAGTACCAGCATAGTGGGCCTGCAAGGCCCAGTTAACGGTCCAAGCTCCAAACTTCAAAACTCTATCACACACAGCTTCAAAGAGTGTTCAAATTGGTGGTGGGTTAGTTGGCAAAATTGTCATAGGCTCCGACTTCGGAGTAGTGCCCAGCTACTAGTCTATTAGTGGATAGACAAAAAACCGTCATCATCACCGGCAGAAGGCCCGTTAAACAAATGTGAAGCCCAAACCGTTTTTGAAGTGGGCTTTCACCACAAAAACATTTAAATCAATAAAATAACAACGCCCACCGTGGGGCTCGAACCCACGACCACAAGGTTAAGAGCCTTGCGCTCTACCAACTGAGCTAGACGGGCTTGTTGAACCTACTGATTTTATTATTGTTCAAATAACTTCCAGTGGCTATTATTGCAAAAATATATATATTCGTTGATCACATCCCAAATCTAATCGGAGCATTGTAAAACTCGAATTCAATAAATTTTTGGTGTGTATGGGTAAATATCAAATTTGAATATTGCAGATAATGAATCGACATAGTTTTTTTCCTATCCAATTCGAACGCGTCCGATTGTACATATGTGTATGTATTTTATCTAGAACTAGTCTTTATTTTTTCTCATTATATTTGATATTTTCATAAACTTGTGTTCTTTTCGACTATTTTTCTTAGGTCTAGTAATTTATTGTTGTACTTTCACTTAAATAATATATTAATATACGTCTAATTGTTAACATTTTTATCGAAACTATGAAGAAAAATTACTACCTATAACCATAAATACCTGAAATCCGATCGCTGAGTATGAACATGGTTTCAATTTTCTACACTATACTTGTATGTATATGAATACGAATATAACTAAAACCCGAACTATTTTGAATAAAGTCATTAATAAACAATATCAACCCCAACCCTACATGAAAATGACGGCCCTAAGAAAGCTCCCATGTTGACAGAAACAGCACACTTATTGATTCACCACCTTCAACTGAGATACAAATGCAATCCATACCGACAAAAACTCTGCCTAGGCTCACACACCACAAGCTAACCCAACTTATTACTTCTGCCATGTTAACACAACCTTGAGAGCTCTGATCACGTTCTAGTCCGATTTGAAGCCTCCATCTCCGTCTTCCCCACCATTTACTCCCTCTCGCAGCTGAACTCGCAGCCAAAAACAAACAAAAAAGCAATGTTAGAAGAATTATCCGAACCACAACATCATCATCATATGTATTTTCATTTCTAATCATGAAGATGCTTTCGATGTTACTTTCTGAAGGGCCTTCTTTTGATATCGGTAACCCTGAACAAGAAGAAAAAACCGTATCCAGAAACAATCAGAAAACTTGAAAAATGTAATTAATCACATAATGCTCAATGTTGATTTTGGGTTGGTTACTAGTGATCACCTTGTCGGTTCCATAGATGTAATCACAGTAGGTGAACACCGATGAGAAGTTGCTCTGGCTTTGGCCTCCAACATAGTGATGGTAATCATGGTGATCCGCACCGCCATAGAATGGTATGTATTTCGTCACACTCCATGGGAAATCATATCTGCAGCACCACAGATCAGAATTCAGAACCAAACCAAGTTGTGAAAAGCAGAGGAAAAGCAGAGGAAAAGTGTGGAAAAGCAGCAGCAGCAGCAGCGTGCATTACCCACTGTGCGTATCTATGGCCTCCATCTGCCGCAAAACGAACCAGAGCCAGAAAGTGGTGATGTGACCGGGAACCATCGCCGGTCCCAGAAAAGACGGGATCCCGAGGATCAAGATCTCAGCCCAGTGAGCATATGGTGCAGCAAATGCAATTGGGGATGTGTAGTGGTGGTGAACCTTGTGGATTTTCTCGTATCCCCATTTGCAATGAAGGAATCTGTGGATCCAGTAATGTGTGTAATCCTCAATCAGAAAGTAAACCAGCAATTGGGCAGAAATTTCCCCAATTGATGGCAATGGCAGCCCTGTATGTACCCCAACAGCCTGGGTGCAAGCAACCAAAACATGTGTTGGGTTTTGTGGTTCAGTAAACCTCGTAAATCTGCGTGTTGTTTACTTTCTTTTATTGTCGATTTTCCCAATTCGAAGTTTACCTTGACGGAAGGGTAGGAGAGGAGCTGCAGGGGACCGACGACGAAGAAGAAGGAGAGCATGACGTCCTTGTAGCAGTTGAAGATGTCGGCGGCGGACGGCTGGATTTTGGGCTGGATTTTGTGTTTCTCGAAGAAAGGGGATCGGAGAAGCTGGATGAAGACGAAGGGGAGCGGAGCCACGGAGAAGAAGAGGCAGAGGAAGAGAATGTTGTGGCAGGCGAGGACGTCGTCGGACTTGTCGGCGGAGTAATTGAACCAGAGTGTCTCGGCGTAGGTCAGGTTGCGGCCCAAGTGGGCAGCCGCCGCCTCGATGGAGTTGTATGGCAGCATTGTGGAAGGGGGGCGGCGGCGGCGGCGGCAGTGGAGGTTACAATGTCCGGTGACGGTTGCGATGACGGCGAACAGGGTAATTGGGGGAAAAGGAATCAAATGCTACAATGTGAGGAAGAACTGGGAGAAGCCCGAAATTTGGAATGAGGGAATTTTACAGAGAGAGTGGGAGATTGATCTGTTAGCGATGAGGAATTGGATTGATGATTTTTGTCTGGTTTTAAAGCCGCCACCAGTCCATGCAGACTGTTCCTTCCTTCCTTCCACTTCCGGTAGATATTAATTTTTAATTTCATGTTTTTTTTAAATCCCTAGACGGACCTGGACTTTCGAAGGGAGTTACTATTTGTCGCCCTAACTTTTTAAATTTATCGCCCTAAAACACATGAAATTACTTAAGTATCCTTGATTTAATTTTATGGTTATCGCCCTAGTTCTTACGGCGACTTCAACCCGCCCAGGCGGGATAGAAACCGGTCTCCGACGTGACCTTATTCCTCCTTCTGGGTGTGACGATAAGTGGCGCGGCTTCTCCTTCCTTCTGACGGCGACACTGGTTTTGAGGGCGATGGCAGCGATGATTAGGAGGGTAGCGGCGGCGATGGTTTGGAGGGCGATGGCGACTTCTCCTTCCTCCTCGGTGACGGCGGCGCGACCCTGGTTTGAAGGGCGACAGCGACTTCTCCTTCCTCCTCGGCGAAGACGACACTGATTTGGAGGGCAGCAGCATCGTTGGTTTGGAGGGCGACGGCGGTTACTCCTTCTCGGCGACGGCGGCGCTGTGTGTGCTGGGGAGATGGGACGACAGAGGGGAGAGTTAATTGGGCCGGTTCTTACGTTAAGTTGGGGCAAAATTGTCCATGTAGATAGTTTAGGGCGAAAATTTTAAATATTTAGGGCGTTAAATAGAAGTTCAGCTTTCGAATTATTTATGACCGTGAAAAAACTTCAGTTTAGTACCTAAATCTTCACGTGTTGATTATTTTGGTTCCTTGCACTTTTTTTTTGGGGGTTAAAAACAAGAGGTGTTTTAATTAGTTGACAAGATCTGTTCGAAGATTGATTAAAGTGGTTTATTTGTTTGATTGCGTTAGAGCTTCTTGCTAAATGAGTTTGATTGTTTTCTAGAAAATTGTTTGGTGTTTTATTCTTATGTTTGAAAAATGTTTTATTGGTTGGTTTTAGTATTATGTGAGCCATACCATAATGATCATTGAATTGAGTTATTTATGTGATAATATGATAATAGAAAAAAAATATATGATATTTTTACTCTGAGATGTTTCTTCGATCGAGATATCTCTAATTCATATTGAGCTCTTAGATTTATGAGATGCTCTACGCTGATGTTTGTTTCGGTCATTTTCTAACTGACACATTCCTTCACTAATGTTCTATTTTGTGGTTGATATGCAACTAATTATCTGGATGGTCAACGTGAGAGATTTTCTCTCACACGATGAGAAAGGCTATCCTGCAAAAGATTCATGTGTTACAATCATTATTTCAGCGTGCTATGTTTCATTTCGCGCCATGTAGGTAAACTATGGATGCCTATATTACGGCAAAACAAACCCTTTTGTCATTAGTCTGTACACTTGTCGACCAACTTTTTTCTTTCTTTTATTTTTGTAATGTGACTTACATGCAAAAGTCTTGTATATTCTTGTATGATGTATCTAACTTATTTCTCTTTTGCCTAAATATGAAAAAATATATACACATCGTGTGTCAATTGATCACATTTACTTTTAAATGTGGATTCTTTAGTTGATCTCGTGGACCAAATGTATTTCCCGAACTCGATTAATATAACCTTTGCATCTGAAGTTAAATCTTTTGAATTCAATTATTAGGGGTCGTTTGGAGAACGAGATTTATAGCGTGGATTAATTGAATCCGTAAATTTTGTAGAAAGTTATGTTTTTTTGTTACTTTTTGTATTGTGGATTTTAATTTTAGAGATTTCAAAAATCTCTAAAATCTACGGATATCAAATCTCTCACAACTAGAGAGATTCTATATCTTGATTCGTGATATTTTTGTTCTCCTACTTTTTCTCTTTCTTTTATTTATTTATCATATTAAATATATTTATTAACAAAGTTTTTAATATTTCTCGAACCACTTTAATTTTTTTATTAAGGATAAACATGTTATTTAATATAAATTAATTTTTTATTTATTTTCATTGGATGGTAACAATCACAGTTACCAAACAATAAACATTTTAAAATCTATTTTCAACAATCCGAAGAATTAGAATCTTTAGATTGTTGACAATCTATAGATTTAAAATCATATTCTCCAAACGACCCCTTAATATATTTAGACAAATAATAAAGACGAGAGAGATTATTTGATGAGGAATTTTACAATGTTATATAGTATTGGTGCTATAGGTTTTTGTCTTTATGGTACAACTTGAAATTGTACTTTTAACGTTATGGTACAACTTCATATTGTACCTATACTTTTTGTACAAATTCTTTTATGGTACAACTTGAACTTGTACCTTTATGTGATGGTACAACTTCAAGTTGTAAAGTTGTACCATACCATAATGATACAAATTTTTTTATGGTACAACATAAACTTATACATTTAATGTTATGGTACAACTTCAAGTTGTACATTAAAGCACCAATACTATATAACATAGTAGTTGTGTTTTTTTTTTTTTATTCCATGGAACTTGGGTTGTGATAACTTCGCGAATTATGTATGCCCAGAAGTCATAATTTAAAATGGTTGATCTTTTAGGTTGGGCATCTAGACAGAAAAGAGTACTGACCTCAGTCAAAGAAATCGTTCAAGCACACCATTGCCCGAAAATCTCCTCCGTTGATCCTCCAATGTGTGTTTAGCTGTGATATACCTATGGAATGAATGGGAAGCTAATTTCGTGTAGTCATAAAAAGCTGGCTAGTGATAGTTAGAAGGCACTCAAGTCATTGAGTCAAGTAGCTAACTTGAGCGGGGGCAACTCTGGTTGTGGTTTGGATAGAGCCAGCATGCCTCATTTCTGATGCCAATCCATACCTAACCTAATTGATTGCAGCGTGTCAAGAACATAATTCGAGTTATTGGGGTCTTATATTATTAGTTATTAACACACTTTCTTAAATGAAAGTCAGTCAACTCAGTGACGGATTTCGAGTAATTAAGGCTTGTGGGAATGAAAACTTTTAAAATTTATATTCAAAAGGTACCAGAAAATTTTAACACTTTTGTTATTTTAAATGAGTTTATTAATGTCTTTTGCGGATCAAAATAATAGATAGTATGTTATTAGTACTTTTTTTCTTCTATATTATTACTTTGATTAAAAAATTTGGTCCGCCGAACTTCAAATCCTGGCTTCGCTCCTGGGCTACTTAATTACAAGGGGTTTCGTTAAGAAAAAATTTATCGTAATAACTCAAATGATTAGAAGAGGGTGGATGATGAATTATACCACTCGCTAACAAGTGGTGTAGCTTGATGGATGGGGTCGGGCTTGCAGTTGCATGCTTCATCAATCTGCAACATGATATCAATCTTCTCGGCAGTCGATCGAGTTGCAGGTCGTCTGCTCTAATAATGAAACAACGTAACACATCAAGCCAGCTTTGCTTTGCGACGAAGCGACCCCATGCTGCTAGCTACCTAACTTTACTTACGTCCACACACTAGCTAGCTAGAGCAGAGACACAGACAAGGGAATTGCATTGGAGCCCATGCATGCAATA